GATGTATGTTGCTTCACTCCTCAACCTACAGGTATTTTTCATTTTTCATTTTTGCACTGGGGTTCGTAGTCTACTTGTTCCTTTACTTCTTTTCAGTGAATAACTATTTACCATTTCCCTTTTCAGAGCTGACAGTGGTTGCTGCTGCCAGCTGAATTACCACCTCTGCAGTCAAGGGGACTGATGTGACGCAGAGAGAAGGAATAGCTGCCACAGGTATGGCATGAAGGCCCCCCCCCAATTGTCCGTGGTCCTTTGGACTACCAGAATCTTAGTCACAAAAGAAGCCACACTGGTGGTCCATTGTGACTTTGTTAGCCTTATGCGCGCACACTTCTGCAATCAATTGCAATATGATGTGTAGATACACTGGCATAACAAGATTATCACACACCTTCCACCTTTTCCTATTTCCTTCAGTCCTTCTTCCTCTCCCCCCCAACTTTACAACACCTCCCTCCCAGTGATTGAGGGGGGGGTAGTTTGTATATTCTTAAGATTGCTTTGAAAATCATGCAAGGGATGGAATTAGGGTTTGTGCTGACTTAAGCATGGGAACTTCCCCCCCCTTCCTCACCAAGGGACATGAGAATTAAATCAGTTCAAAGAGTAATCTGTATGCACAATAATGTGAGCAGTGCATCCCAAGGCCTGTGTCCAGACAGGTAAGTAGCTTGTGGCCTGTGCTCAGTTTACTGCTTCCTATATTTGGGAGATGAATTCATACACAAAGAAATGTGGTATGTCATGGATATACCAGGACCATTTGCCTCAAGATGCTAATTTTCCACGTCATGTTTTTAGGTTGGGGTCCCATGAGAGCCTGGAGACAGACACATTGGCTTGAAGGATGACCCCCACATCTTTCAATTATTTTCTTCTTTTTTAAATATGAATCTTGATAAAGAATTCTGCAGAACTGGAAAGATAACACAATGTTTGATGTTATCAAAAACAACTGTGTACATCTTGTTATTAGACATGCGTAGGCCTGTGGAGGGAACATACTATTAGTGATAAGAAGTCAAGTACTCTAGCTTTGTGGTGCAATTTTTCCACTGGAAAACAATGTCCAGTGACCTAACCTTTCTATCGAAAACAGTGAGATTCTTTTTAAAGTAGTAAATTTGCACGCTGCACAACCTGCAGAATAATGTGCGGTTTTCTAAGGAATCAATTTTTTCCCTTTTGTATTGTGGCTAGTATTGTTTGCCCTGACTTTGACCAGGCTAGCCCAATTTGATCAGATTGTGGCTGCTAAGTGGGGCTGTTCCTGGTTAGTACTTGAATGGGAGATGACTGAGGAAGTCCAGGATTGCTAAGCAGAGGCAGATTTATCTCTTGCGTTGAAACCCCTATGGGGTCACCATAAGCCAGCTCAGACTTGATGGCATTTCCCACCACCAATATAATTGACAAATCATATGCAGTAACCTTTCAAGTAATACACTACCAACTAGGTCAAAGTTTGCAGTTTTAGAAAGTTGAATGGGCTTTTTCAAGGCATCATCACTAACCATCTTTTTTCTTTCCAGCTTGTGCATTCTGGGGAAGAGGAATGATGTAACAGGATCCCTGCAAGTCTAGTAGCTGATGATAGAAGAGGTATAGACCTGGATCTTCTTATCATTTCCCACCCTGCTCGTCCTTGGGTTAGGTCTGATTTTATATTAATCGTGTTTGCCCATCTAACAATAGCTCTAAATGGTCCTCCACCAAATGGAATGATTACTCTTTTAATCAGAATTCGTTATAAACTGGAAACCACCCCACACTCACACGCTTCTCTGTTGTTTGTAGCTTTTAGTGTAAATGCATTTGTCTAGTGGATGAACACTCCAATGCTTCTGATGAAGTAAATGCTTACTCATAAGAGTTATGGTGGAATAAATTTTGTTAGTCTTTTAAGATGCCACTGGACTCCTGTTTTCATTTTGCTGCTACAGATTGATACAGCTGCAGGGCTAACCCAAAAATTGTGGGCACCCTAGGCTAGAACACCCAAGCAGGCCTACCCCCCCTCCAGCACTTGCCCTCTTCCTCACCACACTATGGCAAGAAGCTACCTTCTCTCCTCACCTCCAACCCATCAGGCAAGGTACAGCAGAGGTAAGAAGGAAGAGGGCCAGGCTCCCTGTTGGGAGGGGGGGAGGAGGAGGAGGCAGACTCCCTGTTTGGAGAAACCTCCCAGATTCCACAGAGAAGTGAAGGAGAGCAACCAGAGGGTGACAGAGCTGGCTGGCATACCTCCACCACTGGCGCCTTAGTCAATTGCTAGGGATGGGTGTGAACCAGCTTATGAACTAATGAACTATGATGAATTGTGGCTGGTTTGTGGTTCACAAACTGAAGTTTGTGGCAGATCAACCAGTACAAACATTCCACAAACATCCAAGCAGTTTGTGGGGATTCTTGTGGGTTGGTGAATGGATATATTTCCAGACAGACTGTCTCCCCTAAAACAAAATGTTTACTGAATTTCGAAGCAACCGGGGGGGGGGGCAGAATTCTCTAGCCTTGGAAACACTCTTCTTAGTTCCAAACTAGTTATGTCAGTTTCAAAAGGAATTTCCCCCTTTGCCCCCTTCTTTTTTGTTCCCTTCCCACTTTCTTGCAAAATCCCACCCACCCCTGGCTTGGATTTGTGACTCTGTTCTTTGAGATCAGTCCTTTTAAGCTCGCACTGTCAGTGGCACTGGGTTCTGCTGGACATTCTGCACATTGTAACTGATTGTGCTGGGCTTGCAAAATCCCTCCCTTGCTTGGATTTGTTGTGACTCTGCTTTGAGATCAGTCCTTTTAAGCTTGCAGTTGCACTGGGGTCTGCTGGGCATTCTGTACACTGAACTGGTTCTGCTGAGCTTGGACGCCCCCTTTCTTGGAGAGTGATTCTGTGCTTCACATCAGTTCTGTTGAGCTGGCATTGCCACAATGGCACTGGGTTCTGCTGGGCACTAATACATTGCACTGGTTCTAGCACACTGGGGGGCATTCTACTGTATCACAAACTGAACCAGTTTGTTTGGCTCTTAAAACTTTGTGATGATTTGTGAACTGGGCATGCCATGAACCATCACAAACCATATTTTCCTAGTTCGTGCTCATCTCTACCAATTCTTGTCTAGGGCTGTCTGGTGGATAGGCTGCTACCCCTCAGCTAGCATAATCATCACAAAATATGTAGAACATTCTGTAGATGAGTTCACCACAGAGGGGTCAGGACAGCAGGGCAAGGTAGGAAGTGGGGTGGGAGTCCAGGTGAACAAACCCTTGCAAATGAACTCATTGCTGTAAACAAATATGCTTTGCTGGTTTGATGGAGAAATATTATGGACTCTGCCTTTCTGTCCTTGGAGGAGAAAGGCCTGCAACTATTTCCATTTTAACAATTCTTCCCGAAATAGGGGGGAAAGGTGGAAAGAACTTACTGTTGCATTGTATAACAGCTGCCAGAATGTGTTATGCCAAATATTGGAAAAATGAGAAAATCCCAGGTAAACTGGAAGTGATTCAAAAATGGTTTGAGGTCGCTGAAATGGACAAATTGTCGGATTCATTAAAAGGGAAAGATGAAGGGATATTTAGGAAAAAATGGGAGAAATTGTTCAAATGGAAAATAAAGTGAAAGGGTGAAGAAGAGACTGGAAATTTACTAAGAGGAAAAAACTGTGGCTGTATGCTCGTCTGTGTAAATATGTAAAATTAGCATATATTTTGTGGGGTGTGGGTTGCTGGGAAAAATCAATTAAAATATTCTTTTTTTAAAAAAAGAAGAAGAAGAACTGGGCAAAGGGCAGCTTTCCCTAATTCCTTGGCAGAATCTGCTGCCGGGGGAGGGGGGAATCCACTGTTTCACAGCAGTTCCCTTGAATCCAACTAATGTATTTGGCTTCTGCAGTGAAAGTCCTCTATATTTTTGGATGTCAGTAAATCCACTGGGAAGCTCTCCTGTGCAAGGGACCTATGGCAAGGAATGGGAGTCACACAGCGGAGCAGTAGTTTGTGTCAATAAATTGTGTGAGGGTGTACAGATTAAAGGCTGAATAGTGCACATGCACATTAGAGGGCATTTGTGCATGCAAACAATGTCCATGTGAGAGCACAATGGAGTGGCACTTCCTACTGTCTTGATTTTTTTCATGACATTTACCGTCTGGCTGATTGTGGAACCAGATTTGCTGATAGGGAATACTTAAATATTTTCCTTTTGACTGTTCTTGGACAGCTGTGGTCTTGGTTCAAAGATAATCACAAAACCTCACTGTGGGGACTGGCCTTACCTGAGGCAAGCTGTGCTCCACTGGGGATTTATAACATGAGAAATCTGTAGGAATAAATAATTTTTTTGTTTCAAGGATTCCTCTGGGAAGGAAATGCAACTCAGGCAATTGTTCTAAGTGTTGTACTGCCTAACACTACTTTGCTTGCCATGTCCCAGGCCAGATAAACATTTTCCTTTCCTAGAATCTCTTAGGATGCATAATTTCAGCCTACTTGCTTATTAGAATTCCACTAGAGTGGCTAGAACACCATGCAAAGACAATGTTGCGTAAGAAGGAAAAGGTGCCATTTCAATCCTTCTACTGCATGACAAGTGGCAGTTGGGGGAAAAAATTCTATGCCAGGGCAAAAGGTTTGCATCTGGTCTCTTGAGGAAAGGCTGCTTGGTGATAAAATTTGTGTGGCCTGTCCAGGGTGAAGGATGTAATGATACCGCCTGTTGTCTCAGGGCTCTCATGCTGCCTCCTTGGATTTGTACACAAGACCTTTGTGGCAGATTGTTCCTCATAGGCCAGATCACTGTGTCCCTCTTTGCTGCCAAGTCCACCTTCAGAAGTAGGTAATGGGCAGGGTCACGTTTGGCTGTGAGGATACCTGGGGAACCAGTCTGGTCGCTTCTTCAGGTCTGAGGCTCTCAGCCAATGAACAGGGTGAGAATGTGCCGCATCTTCTGTGGTTTGCTGCTTTTTAAAGGTGCTTGCAGATGGAACTCTTGCCAGCAGACGTGGCACGCAAGAGCAAGTTGTCTGCCATTTGCTCCTGGGCTTGATAAGAAGAAAAGAGTGGCTCAACAGGAATGGTAAGAGGCAGCCTGAGACGCCATAGGGGCTGTCTTGGTTCTGCACTATCTAGAACTGTGGCCTGAAGATCTCTTAGTCTATGTTATCTTTGGGAACAATCCAGCTCAGTGAAAACTGTCCTATGGGTAAATGATCTATGAGACATCAGGGTTATCGTTGACCTTAAGAAATGTTGCCTGTCCGTCGGTAAGAGCATTCTTCCAAGAGGCTGTCAATTCAAAACAACTAGAAAGACCTAGCTTAGCTTGGTGGATCAAGAAGTTAGGGATTATCAAGTACCTTAGAGCAAGACAATTAGTTCATGGTAAAGTGGATTCTGACATCAAAGACAGTGCTGGGCATGAGAAAGGGGGAAAGGACTTTGTTGTGTGGATTCTAACAGTGTGTGTGTAGCTAGGGAGCTACTAGGTATGAGATGTGGGTGTTGTCTCTTTGTAGCCCTCTTTCCTTGAAGTAGCTGTGGAAAATGTCTGTCTTCAAGAAGCTGAAAGCTGCCTGCTGAGAGAACTACCACTGGGTGCCCACTATTCTTCTGTGACACATATCTACAAAGAGCTATGTACTTAAACTGGATTGAATATTGTGGGATTTACTTTTGAGTAAAAATGCACAGGATCAGGCTGTAAAGTGAAAAGAGATCAGTTACGAACGCTCAAGTATGAACATACTCAAGTATGAAGTCTCTTATATGCAAATGTTAAGATGTTTGAGTGGACTCTAAAAATCCCGGGCAAAGGCAGGTTGCATCTGGAAATTCTTCTCATCCTGTGTAACTGGAGAAGTTCTTTTGCTATCTGCCTGGAGGCCTGCAATAAGACTTGAGAAATGTTTAGGAAAAACTGACTGTGTGAATTGCCTCTTGTACAGTGTACTGATTTTCTAATACTGTCCCCTGTTTTGTCATTTCCTGGTGCCTTTTCAGATCTGAGTTAATGTGAATACAGATTTCTTCAGGATTCAGTCCACACTGTCCCCCGGCTCTTTAAATGTTGACTATCTGAAGAAATTCTTGTACTAGTACACATGGGTGTGAATGTATGCACATAGACCACACACACTCTGCATCTCTCCCTCCTCCCTCCCACATCCATATAAAGACCCATTCATATATGAAGATGATGATGAAGAAGAAAAGATTGGATTTATACCCTGCCCTTCACTACCTGAAGGAGTCTTAGAGCAGTTTACAATTACCTTTCCCTTCCTCTCCCCACAACACACACCCTGTGAGGTAGGTGAGGCTGAGAGAGCTCTTTCGAGAACTGCGCTTTCCAGAACAGCTCCGAGAGAACTGTGACTTACCCAAGGTCACACCAGCAGCTGCATGTGGAGTGAGGAATCAAACTCGGTTCTCCCAGATTAGAGTCCATGCTCCTAACTACTCCACCAAACTGGCTTTCTATGATGCTGAATGTTTTTAACTGGTAGATATAAATACAACTAATTCTGTTGTGAGATTAAACTTCATTAGGAAATTAATGCCTGTCACAGTTGATTAAACTTCTGTGATTCAGAAGCTGGTGCAGGACAGACAATAAATAACTATGCTGTACAGCAGGCTGAGGCAAGTCTTTGGTTCAGGTATCTATGATCTTCAGCATGAGAACAGGTGCAACAGCCATTCAATGCTGAACACAGGGAGGTATGAAACCTCATGCCCTATTCCCCTGTTTTGTTGTCTATATATATGTATACTATTGTTGACCGTTGGTTTTTTTGCAAACTGAATTAAGCATGGATTTAAGCCAGGTTCTGGGGAAAATTATATAGACACGTGGTGGTGGATGAGGGAGGAATGGGCTGGAGCTGAACTGAACGAAGATGGACAAGATGGTAGTGGAAGATGCGGATGCTCTGAAAAGGATTAAGGTGCCTGTTTTGGATGGAGTAAGGTGATCATTGTCAAGTCAGATGAAATGTTCATAGATTCTCTTGGACCCGGTCTGTTGTTTGAGGGACATGTTGGCCCTGTTGCTAGGACCCCCTTCTTCTCTCTGCACTCAGTTTGTAAGCTTTCCTCCCTTCTAGACATGTCTCATTTGACCAAAGTGATCCTTATTTCTGTAATTATTCCAGAGGTATTTTGTCAGATTGCTGGTTGATGTAGACATATATACACACCTCAAGGAAATGCTGGTTGATGTAGACATATATACACACCTCAAGGAAATTAACTGCCAAAATTAGATATAATCTGTAATCATACATTTTTGTATGTGCGAGCATGAAAATAATGGAATTATCTAAGTAATGTGACCATTTGGCCACATGGAATAAAATGTGAATCAATCAATACCTGGTTTGACTTAATATATCAGTATTTGTTCTTGATGTGTATGCAGAGTTGCCAAACTACAGGCCTGGAGATCTCTTGCTTTTGATCTTCAGGCAATAGAAAAAATGGCTGCTTTGGAGGATGAATTCAGTGCCATTGTGCCCTGCTGAAGTCTCTCCCCTTCCCAAACCCTGTCCTTCTTGGGTTCCACCCCCAAAATCTCCAGGTACTTCCCTACCCACAGCTGAAACCCTGTGTGTCTGGATGTATTTGTGACCACTGAAGAGGGCCCATAGAGCTGAATGTGTTTGGTCTTGTTCACTGTGATTGTGGTCTTGTCTGTACATAGGGTTGCCAAGTCCTCACCTGTTGAAGATTGGGGGAGTCCAGTCTTGTTCCGGGAGTACATGTGCGCACACTTTGCGCGCCGTAAATACGTCACCCGGAAGTGACGCAATCACGTCGGGCACGTTGGGGACGGGGCCACAATCATCCGAGGCAAAACCATAGAGTTTTCCCTCGGATGATTGTGGCCCCGCCCCCAACGTGCCCAATGTGATTGCCTCACTTCCGGGTGACGTGCTGACACTGGGCATGTCGTGTGCTTTGGGGGTGGGGTTCCCCCTGGGGCCCGATCCGCTGGCGGCGGGTAACGGGCCTCTCGGGCGGGGTTTTCCCCGCCCCCCGGGGGGACTTGGCAAGCCTATCTGTACACCATCGACTTTGCGATACTCTTATGTATTATATGTAGTACATTGAGGACTACTTAGTCTGGTGGCTTTCAATCTGAAGACTAAAGTCAAGACCTGTGTTTTTAAATTTGTATTTTAAATGCTCTGTATAATAAATTTATATATTTTGTTTAATTCATTTTTATATTGTCTCTCCTCAACCTTCGTGGTACCTAATACAATTACCGAGGAGCAGTAGATTTGGCCTATTGTAGTAAAACGAAACAGTAGCCCAGTGGCACCATATAGACCCACAGTACTTATACTAGCAGAGCTTTCATGGATCAGAGCTTACTTCCTCAGATGCAATAAAAGAAAATTATTTTCTTCATTTTAATGCAGAAAAATACTTCCTCTTCTGTAATCTTCTGCCAAAAAGACGAGTAAGATTATTTCCTTCCTCTCATGGCGTATGAGAAAGTGAACTCTGACGAAAGTTCATGCTGAAATAAAAAACATTAGTCTTTAAGGTGCCCCTGAACTTCTTATTTCTGTAACCTTTCATCTGGTCTATTACAACTGGACATAAGCTTCAACTAGAACCGAACATAGTAGCCCATGTGAACCTGGAACTTGCATTCCTGAAGGTCATCTCCCATGCTCCTGTTTCGTTTACCCCACCCTGTAAACTCTTGTGATGATCTGCTTTAATCCAGCAGGTCTATTCTGTACGAGGGCGAGGACTTTTTAGTTGTAGCACCCTCCCTCCCTGCAGTACAGAATGATGTTCCAGAAGAGGTTTTGAGATGACTGTCATTCCGCACAGGTTACGCACAACTCTTTTTTTTTCCTCAAAAGGCTTTCAGTGATTGATGGCTTTATTGTTTTGTTGTTGGGCTCTGTAGTTGTGTGGGCTGGTTCAACTATTTAGCTGTTGTATGTCACTTAGATTTGCTTTAAGAGCAACTTAATCAAAGTGAAAGTGAAACTATCTTGTTGCTAATGCTATATACTGCCAAGGATCCTGACCCTAACATTCACCAAGTATGCATTAATAAGCACATTTAAATTGTATCACCACTGCTCTTCAAACAAGATAATGAGGGAAACAGGCATTCCTTAACATTACAGGGAGGTTGTGTAATTGTTTTGCCACAGACTGTGGGATCAACAAGGGTGGAGCTCTTATCAAATGTGGCTGAATATCCCATCCAGAAGCCCAAATGCAAATGAAGGGAACAGGAACCCCTACTTGGGTTACGAACAACGCACTTGATCCCCTCATGAACCGACTGAAGAAAGTTACACTTTATCTTAATTTCAAGTGTCCCTGGGCTGTTTTCTGTACAATTAAATGAATGAAACCTTTGCAAAGTTGGGGGTGGTGGTGGAGGAGATGAGATGGCTTTTGACACAGAGGCCTATCATGATGGGGATGGTGCCAATCTGCAAAATTTTGCCCTAGTTGGCAAATCAGAGGAGCTTCTAATGCAAACTGTACAATGAAAGTCAGTATTTTTAACAATAACACTACTGAGGGGAGGTTAGGCAGACTTTCAAAAATGTGTGCAGATGTTGCAGGACTGGTGTGACCCCACCCTCAGTGCCCACATCTTCAGCTAGCTAAGCATACACGCAGGTGCCTTCTGCAACTGGGAATGCTGCAAAAAGCAAGTCCCTGATGGTACCTAAAAAGGCTGTGGCCGTGCACTTGAACATACATAGTATGTTTGGCTGAATGCCAAGGTTTGGAGCATGTGTCCAGCAGCCAGAACAGTCCTTTGTCTCCTCTATGCTTATGAATAGTATTTCGGAACCACTGCAAACCTCTGGAGATAGGCAGCCTTAAGTATAGTCTATCAATCTTTGAACTGAGATATATGCAACTTTCTGGAGTCAAGTGCAATTGTCACCCCACTTGAGCATGTGTTTAATGTGCCTGTTGTACTGTAGTTTCTACACTGTGACATTTGCTTATTTGAGATATACATCTCCCACCTTTCCATCAGTTATATCTTCAACATAATTTAAGATGGTGTAAAAATAGTAACAATTAAACAATCCAATGTGGTAAATAATCCAGTTTAGAAAGAAAATGAACAGATAAGTGGAAGCTAAGAGCAGATCAGTGTAAACTGCTGATAACAGGCCCAGGTGAACAGAATAGTGGCTGGTGGCTGGAAGATACTAATGAGAGGACACGTGAATGGGCCCAGGGAGGAAGTTCTGTAATCTTAGTGCCACCACAGAGAAGGCCCTGTCTGTGGAAGCTCCCACAAATATCTGAATGCAAAGGTAACACACACACCCCGGTCTCTGATGATCTTATCTGATAAGCAGGTTTGTATAGGAAATGCATTTCTGTAATTGTCACAGGTTCCTATTGGATATTGCTCTTGATGTCACTGGTGAAGAGCAAAACAGCTCTCTGTCCCCTCTGCTAATATGTCCCCTGTTGACATTCTGTAGATGTATTGCTACTGCAGAGGCTGACAGCCCGTCTAACCCTCTGAGAAGCCCAGCCACTTAACCCCCTTCTTTGTCTCCCTCACCAGCAATGTCCTGCCAGCACATGACTCTTTTAACTATTCTCTACTCTCTCTCTCTTTTTTTTTAGTTCTGTAAGGGCTTGTACACCCCAACCCTTCCTTCTAGGGCTGAAACCACCCCAGTTTGCTTTTTGCCTTTATTTAGCCAGTGGCTTTGCTGATGTTTTTCTTCAGAAATATGAAGCATCATCATCTGGGGATTGGGATCCTGACAGCAGCACTCTTGGTTCTCACTATATCCCTTGGCATTGTCTTTGGCCTGCGCTCTAAGTCATCCTCTCAGCAAGAAAACCTGCATGTCTACAAGAGGGCAGCCGTGGCCGCAGATGCAGGCCAGTGCTCTGTTGTGGGGAGGTAAGCAGGTCACTTCACTTTTCTAGCGAAACATCCAGTCAAGGAATCTCTTGTATTTTGCACTGTTGGTGGTGGAATAGTGTTGATGGTGCTCCTCCTGGCATGGAATCATGACCTTGGGGTCAGTGTTGGTGGTGGATTCCATTCCTGGCATGGAATCATGACCTTGGGGTCAAGTAGTATTTCAAGATGTGTTATTTCTCTCTTTATATTAAAACATTCTTCAGTCTTTGAATAAACTTTAAACTTTATGGTAATACTTATTTACAGGGTTCTTCTCTCAGCCTTGACGTTCTCTCATTCTGCTCAGGCCCCAACTGAGGAGAAACAGAAAGTGTGTGTTACACTTGCCTCCTTTCTGGCTCTTCCCAGGGACTACAATATAATCAGTTTTTCCACATTGCTACAAGTAGCATTGTGGCGTGTCACAGCCAACCCTTGAGGCCGTTTTCCACATCCTTTGCGTGGTAAGGCAACAGACTGGATTGGCTCTAGGTCTTTTCCCGGTTGAGGAATAATTGGGCCTATTGGTAAGAGAACAAAGAATTATCAGAAAATGCGGATATCCAGTAACTTTTGAGGAGGTCTGTTAGCCAGCAATATTCTGGTGAAAAACCCACAGCTATTTTCATGCATTAGTCCCTGTCTCTCTTTACCAACCAGCCCGAATGTTTGCACTTTGCCACTACTTTGTACTCATTCATAAGCACCAAAAAGAAGATATATGATGTTTTTGTTGCACTAGTAGACAGTTGAAATTGTTTTAAGAATCCCATTGAAATATGTATACATAAATGTTAATGGAAATTATTAATAATGGAAAGAGAGTGGGTTACTTCCTAAAAACAGAGGTTCTGGAGATTGAAGCTGCTCTCCTCTGTTGTACTGTCTCCTGCTTTTTCAAAGGCCTCTTCTGCCCACTCCCTCTTATATAGATGGAACCTTCTCTGAGAACCTACTTAGTGTTTGCTCTCCTTCAGATCCCTCCTTAAAATCAGCTGCTCCCATGGCACGGCTTCTTCTGTCGTCAGCATTTAGAACAGATTCCAGAAGTGGAGCCATATCCGCAAAGAGCCTTGAAGTACCTTAAGCACTAGGGGGTTTTCAAGGCATTAAGATGGTAACTTTCTTGGGCCAGTTTTCCCCCCACCCCCAATATTGTATGCTATTCAATTAATGCTTGCATTACTCAAAAGTAAAACCACCTGATTGAAAACTCTTCTCTCAAATCCTACATATGTGAGGGGCCCAGCTGAGTGGGAAATCTTATGCTCAAGCCCCCCCCCCTTTTACTCATATGCTGTCTCCGCAGAAACTTGCTTGAGGTTGCTCACAAAGTAAAACATTATATTAGTAACAGCATAAAACAATATTCTGCCACCTAAAATAATGTTAATAAAACAGCCCTGAGGCTATAAGCGAACCAGAGAAGCAGTTGAAAGAGATGGAACCCCTCAGCCTGGGTAAAAATAAATGTTTTGGTTTGGCACCTAAACAAGAGTAAGGTAAGCACCAGGTAAGCCTTGAGAGTGTTAGCCAAATGGGCCCTATTGCCTGGTGTGCCAATGCCCAATGATGAACATAGCCAGTGAGATTCCAGGAGCAGATAGAACTTTATTTGAATAAAGGGGACAAAATCCAAGAAGTCTGTTAGTAAGGCATCAGCAACAACCTTTTTATACAATATGATAAACAACTTTTAGACATGCACAGATGTCTTCCAGTTACATAGTGCATATTTCCTATATGAGTACATTTCTTAATCCTATATGTATCTTACCCTTATTTGGAATATTAATGGTTTTCTGTAGACTTTGCAAAAATTATGCCATGCAAAAATGGTTCCCTTATCTCCCCACAACAACATTTCCACTTATTTAGCTATGTTCCCAGACATCTTGCCCTGGCACCTTGCAAAGTGCTATTTTGCCCACTGTACCACATCCTCTTTCACATAGTTGCTGACATTAGTTGCTGAAATTAGCTTAACATTAACATGAAAATGGTGTTAATCTTGCCTGTTTGCCCATCAAGAGGGAGTGCAATCCACAGGTAAGGGGCCACCACTGAAAAGGCCTGTCTCTGGTTGCCGCCTGCCTCACCTCTGAAAGTGGGGGCACAGAGAGCAGAACTTGCGAAGAGGATCTTAACTAGCAGGCTGGACTGTATGGCCCCAAGCCATTTAGGGCCTTAAAGGTAAGAACCAGCACTTTGAATTGTGCCTGGAAACAGATGGGCAGATAGTAGAGTTCTTTCAGCACAGGGTGATACAGTTCCTTGTACCTAGCCTTTGAAGATGGCTTGGTCACTGCATTTTGAAATTTCTGGACAGTTTTAAAAGGTAGCCTTACATGAAATAATCTAACCTGGATATACTCAGAGTAGGATTGTTGGGCTCAAGGTGGGGCCAGGAGATCTCCTGGAATTACAACTGGTCTCCAAGTGAGAGAAATCAGTTCCTCTAAAGAAAATAGCTGTTTTGGAGGCTGCACTCGATGGCATTATACCTCACTGAGATCCTGCTCCAGGCTCCACCACCAAATCTCCATTAATTTCCCCACTGAGAGCTGGCAAACCTAAATCAGAGCATTGATTATCATGCACTCCCATTTAGGGTTGCCAACCCCCAGATGGGGCCTGGTGATCTCCCAGAATTCCAACTGATCTCCAGACTACAGAAATCAGTTCCCTTGGAGGAAATGGCAACTTTGGAGGGTGAGCTCTATGGTATCACATTCAGTGTTCCCTCTAAGCTGTGCTAGGAGGAGCTAGCCCACATCTTTTTAGCTGGCTGCTCAGAGATTTTAGCTTCCAGCTCACAATGGAGGATGGGGGCACTTCCTTCTGGGGCTCATAGAATTGGACCCCCTGGTCCGATCTTTTTGAAACTTGGGGAGTTTTTGAGGAGAGGCACCAGCAGTTTTGCTGCAAATTTGGTGTTTCTACCTCAAAAAACACCCCCCGGAACCCCAGAGACCCCCAGATCGATTCTCCATTATAGCCTATGGGGCCCATTGACTATAATGGTCCCCATAGGCTATAATGGAACAGGAAAACAATGATTTTTTTTGTACACCCATTTTATGCTTTTCAGTATGATTTGTAAGCTACCTTGAGTCACAGGGAAAAGTGGGATATAAATATTTGAATAAATAAGTACTTTGGGCAGGTTGATAACATTTAGGGAACTTCCTGTTTGTTAGGTTAGGCAGGGTTCTGACAGCAATTGTTCTCTGGAGGCCAGGTCTCCTAATGTTTTGGAGAGGGTGAATCTATTCTCTGGAGGCCAGATCTACCAATATAGTGGAAAGGGGCATGTAGACCTGTTCTCCTGGTCTACCCCCATAGAACACGTTTTCTTTAATGAAATTTGACTTGATTCTGTTTTCTCTTATCATGTTTAAATTATTGTTAAAATATAGTTTAAAAGAATTCATTCTGAGATTTTTACAAGGTTATGGAAATAATCTTCTAAAAACTTTATGCAATAGTCAAATGTAGACTCGCTCACAACTTTAATGCTACTAGCTTTTTTTGCTCACGAGGTAGAATTTTTGCTCACAGCACTGGGAAGCTTAGAGGGAACAATGACATCCCTGCTGATCTCCCTTCCCAAACTCTATCCTCCTCAGGCTCTGCTCCCAAATCTCCAGGAATTTCCTAACCTAGAGCTGGCAACCCAACTTCTGCCACTTAGCATCAGGACTGAGCCCTGTCTCAAACAAAAATCCCAGTTACATGTGTGCCTGAAGGCTGTGATAAAGAAACATGGCCTACATGACTGTTTTCTTCTCTGCAGGGATATCCTTCAGAAAGGGGGATCAGCTGTGGATTCTGCCATTGCAGCTCTGCTCTGTATGGGCCTGATGAATCCGCACAGCATGGGCATTGGAGGAGGCCTCTTCTTCACCATATACACAGTTGATGGTAAAGATGTGTCTACTCACAGTTGTGGCATAGCAGAAGCCCTGCTCCTGCTGCAGGAAATGACCATAGCAGAACTATAGGTGGGCGACTACAGCTCAAAATCGTATGCCATAACCCCAATTTGCCAGGTCCTGAAAAATAGGTTAATAAAAAAGGAGGTGTGAAAGCCTTAACAAGCAAAAGAGTTGGTGCATAGGCTTCAACATGTTAAAAATAATTGTGTGAGTCACTTGCTCCTAGCTATGGAGTGTGGAATGAACAACCGTATGCATGACCTAGCTCTTTTGGGAAGAGTGATCTGGGTTGCTCAAGTGCAAGAACAGTTCCTCCTTTGACCTTTTAAAAGCAACCACTGGTTCCAGAAATATAGGATGGTCTGAATGGGCATAGCTGATGAGGTGATGCAGGGTGATTATAGGCTTTTTTGACACATGTATGGATTGCTGACATATCACACAGTTTGCTAGTTCTTGGCCTTTCTTTGAAACATGGAGTGAGACAACTTCCTGTATGTGTGGGATTTGTTTGAGCATACCAAAGTCCTTCTAAAGCGGCTTCACCACATCTGTTGTTGTTCTGAATCCATCTTGACAATGTGGTAGCGAGGGACTGAATGTATACATAAACACAAGAGGCTGTCTTTATCCTGAATCAGAATATTCGTCCATAGAGATCAGTATTGTCTACTTGGAGGGCAGAAGCTCTCCAGAGTATCAGGCAGAGGTATGGATGGACACAAACCTGGAAAATGTGGTTCGGTTTAGATGGTTCGGTTTAGATGGGCACAAACCTGGAAAATGTGGTTCGTGCCTGGTTCACAAACCATGAATCGTCACAAACCTTTAGGAGGCAAATGAAACAATTCCATTTGTGAGATTCGTGACCGGTAGAATGCCCCCCTGGCATGCTAGAGACACCAAACATACAGGGGATCTCTGGCTGACTCTCCTCTACCTGCTGTCCAAGTTTGGTAAGGATTGGATTTACAGGGTCCAAGTTACAGCCCCTGTCATTTCCCCAGAAAGCAGTTTCCTGGGGCACCTTCTTGTGGGGGGCCCCCTGTAATTCGGACCCCATAAACCCAGTCCTCACCAAACTTGGAAAGCAGGTAAAGGAGAGTTAGCCAGAGATCCTTTGTGAGTTTGGTGTCTCTAGCTTGCACAGGATCTGTTCTACATACTCTCGAACTGGCACCTGTCAAAATGACAGCCGGTATAGAATGGAACCTGTGCAAGCTAGAGACATCAGAGCACTGTTCCCTCTAAACTGAGTTAGTGTGAGCAATGCCAGTAGCTCACAAAGTAGAATTTTTGCTCACAAGACTCCATGGCTTAGAGGGAACATTGCATCAGAATCACAGGGGACCTCCCTCTACATGCCCTCCAACTTCCGCCACCCTGTTGCTTTGAAGTTTGGGAAACATTTAGATGCAGCAGATATAGTTTGTCTGGAAATGTATCCATTCACGAACTGTCAGGAACAGCCACTAACAGCTAGAAAGTTTGTGGAAAGTTCGACAGCAACACAGGCCTATCCCAGAAAGGTAACATGGTGTTTTTCAGATATGGTTGCCTCATATGGATTTGGGTAGGCATTTCTCTGAATCCTGACTACTCTTTGTTTTCTCTTCTACATGGTGATGGTGAAGATTCCCTTCACTTCATGAATCATGAGCCGGCCAAAATTCGTGATGAACTTTAGTTTGTGAGTTAGTTTGTTCCCATCCCTAGGCAGAGGTCTTTAGCAGACCTACTACCTATTCTTTTTAACTGAAGATGCTGGGGATTGACCCTGGGACCTTCTGTATGCAAAGTAAATGCTCTACCACTGAGCCACAGCCCCACAGACTGAGAAGATCTCATTCCTACTCTTCCTAAAGGGAAAGTGGAAGTCATTAATGCCAGAGAGGTGGCACCGAAGAATGCATCCATGAACATGTTCGGCAACAACACAGGCCTGTCCCAGAAAGGTAACATGGTGTTTTTCAGATATGGTTGCCTCATACAGATTCGGGTAGGCATTTCTCTAAATCCTGGCTACTCTTTGCTTTCTCTTCTACATGGTGATGGTGAAGATTCCCTGTTATACCATATTCACGTGTAACTCACAATCTCTTGAAATTAGGAATAGTCATGTTCAGGATGTGGGATGTAATGGGTTCTATCCTACCATGTGATAAACAGAAAAGTTTTACTTAACACAGTTCCATTTGCTTGAGATAACTGTGCAAGAGCTACTATAACATCTGGCACTAATTCCCCCCCTAATTTCTAATCAGTGTTGCTGCGTACAAAAATCAAAAGGGTGTTTAATAGTCACTGCAATCCAAATGAAAGGTGTGATATGCTTGAAGAAGGTCATTATCAGGGTGGGGTTGACTTAGAACAAGGACTGCTTGCAATGCCTGTCTTGTACAGCTGCTTGTTCAAGAACACTTGTGCAAGTAGACATGCTCCATGGGATCCAGCCCATTATCTCAAAGATGGGGATTCTCCACTTTGGCCTTAGATGAAAATAAGAAGGAGATTACTGTTATCAAGCTTGCGCATTTAGTTATTCATGCAAATGTCTGTTCCCTTCAATAGCATGGCTCAGAACAATACAAACAAAGCTATATCCAAAGCTATATCCATATTTTATTTGGATAAATAAAAATACCACTGCAAATATGCAGGTAATCAAATGGGGAGGTGCCAGGATCACTCCCCAAAAGCCCTCCTGGCAAGAAGGTTGTTGCCAGCCCTGCAGTCACAAAAAGACCGTCTTGAGAACCAGGTCGATTGTTGCCAGCCACAAAAAGACCGTCTTGAGAACCAGGTCTACACACTTTGGTTTTTACCTCATTCTCAAACCCGCCCTGGTCCAAGGCGATCACCCCCGGAATTCCCATCCATTTAGCACGTTCTGCAGCAAGGAAGCAGCAGCAGGCCAGAGGCTCTACCAGTTCACTGAATTCCCTCCAGGGGACTTCGCAAAGCTTTGATTTCTGTTGCACTGTTGGATGACATGGCTTAGGAATGCACTTACCTGTTCTTTATTTTCTTCTTGCTTCAGGAGGATTGTCCATTGCCATTCCTGGAGAAATCCGTGGTTATCAAATGGCGCACAAGCGCCATGGCAAATTGCAATGGAAGGAGCTGTTTCAGCCCAGCATCAAATTAGCAAGAGAAGGCTTCCCAGTTGGAAAAGGCCTGGCAGGAGCTCTCAGAGCTAAGGAGAAGAGAGTTGAAAGAAATCCGTCTTTGTGGTAGGTAGTGCAGTTTCTTATATGAACTTCTGCCTTGGCAGGGTAATCTGCTCTCTAGACAGTGATCTGGGGCTGGAAATGTGTTTTGCTCTAGAGACTGATCTACTTGCTCCCATACCTTGATTAAAGGAGTTACGGGGGCCAGATAAAATTGCTTTGGGGCCAGATCTTGTCTATAAGCCACCAGTTGGCCACCCCTGGTTAAGATCATCACAATGACTTCCTTTGGTTTAATTAATCTGTACTAGAAGCTATCTCATGTAGAAATTCCATTCTGTATTAGGCATGTGACTTGCTATATTCTAAGCCAGCATTTCTCAAACTGAGGTCTAGGGACGCTAGGGTCCATGAAGGTATTCCAGGAGGTCCTTGGGTATGTCACAAAGGCAGAGGATGAAGCCCTGTCACAGCCATCCAACTAACACAGAAATTGAGCTGATTGATTTAGGAAAGGGGGGCAGGGACTTTCTACCTTGGGAGAAGACGATGGGAACTGGTTTCCCCTTCTTTCTGTCTTCTTCTGTCACCAATCACATCAGAACACCAGGTAGGGAAAAAAATACTGATTGGTTGCTTGGAGCAAGTAGTTCAGCCTTAGAGACTCTGGTTGGTTGGTACTGAGACGGTACAGTCCTAATAATCATCATCATAGTTGCTTCTGGTATAAAGGTGAACTAGTTGCTCAGTTTTCCGATGCAAATTTGCAATGCAATTGGAAATTGGTCCCTAGAGAGAGATGCCAGTTTGTGCCCACAGACAATAATAGCCAACGGCAGTTTTCAGTTGAACACCAGAAGTTTAGATTCTGTGTGATTCCAGTCATTCTATTTCTGTGAGCAGCTTTGCAAGCTTTTACAGGCAGCTTCCATCCTTGTTGGCTTGTACCTAGAAGTTATTAGCCAACTGGGAAGTCTTTTGCCATCTCTGGTATAAAGTCCCTTCCAATCGAGGGTTGAGACTGAGCAGAGCTTAGATCAGTAATAGGCTTGCCATTTGCCCATCCATGGCTGTCCCCAATGCCCTCCTCTAGAGAAACTGAGGAAAAGAAGGAAAATGGTTGGGAAATGGACTCTATGGTGACACTTTAGGAATTTCCCCATGTCTGTATGGTCTTTACAGTAGATATTAAATAAAATTCCTAGAGCGTCACCTGGAAGTGATGTCACATCTCCCCCGAACTCAGCCCTCCTCAGGCACCACCCTCAAACTCTCCCAGTATTTGCTGAGGCAGTGGTAGGGTTTCCTGACCCCCCAGTGGAGGCAGGGGTCCCCCACTGCCAGGCCCCACCACCATGCCACTAATCAGCTGGCTGGTGGGAGGGGACTTACCCTGAAAAAGATGGAGATCCATCTGGGACGTCGGGGCAACACTTTGGTATTTGGGTAAAAACTCTATGGTAGAAGCCAAACTTATCATAGGGTTTTTGCCCAAATACCAGCACATTGCCTCGATGTCCCAGATGTGATGATGTCACTTCTGGATCACATGGGCAGTGACCTGGACACATCGTTGTACATTGGATGGGCCTCCCTGCTGCTCCCAGTAAGTCCCCCATTGATTGTCAGGAGGGACCTGGCAACTCTAGGCAGTGGGGCAACCCTAGTTGGGGCCTTTTGAGTTGTAGCTTTATAGAATCAGTTACCCTTTGATTTATAGGCAATGTAGGAACACAAATTTGTATAGCTGACATGGTTTTCACTGCATTGTTCTCATTAACCTAGAAGATACCTAATTGAGGCATGTGTGACTTGCTGTGTGCTATAGAGTTGCCAGACCCCTGGTCTGGGTGGGTTTCCCCCCAATTTTGGGGGCTTCAGCCCACTGCTGGCATGTTGCACATCGACGTTTTGGCCAAAATGCTAGAGCGTTGCTGTGTGATGTCCCCAGCATGATAATGTCATTTCCATGTGACATCATTGCACTGGCGACATCGCACACGGCGATGTCCCCCCCCCATCCCCCTCTCCCAGAAGGCACCCTCCCAGCCCCCATGGGCAGAGTAATTGGACCTGGCAACTCTAGTGTGCTTTGAAAGGGAGATATCTGGTATAAGGCAGGGATCAGACAGGACTTTGGGGTGGGGGGTGTCCAGGAAATTTTAAAATTAAAATGGGGGTTCCTAGGTTGCTACAGTTTGATAACTGCTGTTACAGGCCTAAAGGCCACTCTGTTGAAGAAGCCTGACTCTCCTTGTTCTGTCTCCAGTGAGGTCTTCTGCAGAGGAGGAAAGGTCCTCAAAGAGGGGGAGATACTCAGACTGCCTAAACTAGCAAACACCTATGAGACATTAGCCAATGAGGGACCAGATGCCTTTTATAAAGGGAGCTTAGCTCATCAAATTGTCACAGACATCAAGAATGCAGGTGAGGAACCAGGGTCTGGGAAGAAAGGATCACTTGTGGGGTTTTTCCATTATATGTTAAACAAGCTAGGGACCTGTGAAACTCGCAGGGAACGGACATCCCAGCCCGTGTCCCCCCCTTTCTTTGCAGTCTCTACTCTCTTGCATTTTCCATACTCTCTCTTCTGAGCTCTTTTTCTTTACTTCTCTCCCCATCTGCTCACCACTTTTGCTCCCTGTCCCTGCTGCTACTGCTGCCCCCCCAAGCTTCAGCCATGTTGGAAATGCCTAGGCCCAATCTCTTCTACCTCGGTTGCTAGGAAACCCACAGTGCTGGCTGTGATCCTGTGACCACTCAGCTGTCATTTTAAATGTGGAGGGGGGGGGGTAAATTCCCCAGTTGTCTTTATTAAGTTTTATGATTTTTCTGCGACTCCCCTTTGTCATCCCCCCATCTGTACATTTTAAAAATCTGTATTCTAGAACTATGTTCAAAACTTTGTATATTTATACTGGCAATTGGACAACCATACATTTCATTTATGAAGACCATGTCTTTTACAGTGTTTACTGGGAATTCTTTTAGATATATCTCAGAGAACTCTGTACAAAGAACAAAAGACTTGTAGCATTTTATAGACTAATTTATTTGCTGTAAAACACGCACACGTGGACATTTACCTGAAGAAGATAATCTTCAGAAATTGGATCAGTCTGGTCATCGTCCTACAATATGGCACGAGGAAGCTGTTGCTGGGGGATGTTGGTCCACCTCAACCCTCCCCATAGCCTTTGGGAATATCTCTTTTTGGTAATGAGAAGGCAGTGAGTCCCTCCCTCCATTTGATTTGTCATAATGTCCTGTATTTAACAAACTTGTCCCAGAAACACTTCAAACTGGAATTAATAAAAATGACTACTTGTACAGTATTTTAATTAATTCCAGTGGACTTCAGCTTAAGAACATAATATCCAATTCCAATTACAAAGAAAGGAAATTAGTTGCTTTATTTAGCAATCCAGAAATAATTGAAGCTTTATAGAGAGAATAGAATTAAGTGGGTATCGTAAGCACGAGCTTTCTGTTACAAGACAAAATGTCTCCTGTCTGAAATTTGCAGTTAAATTAAAACATTGCACAATATTTGGGAAGCCACTAAATAATGGCTGTTGGAGATCTTTTTACCACCTGCCCACAGGAAGTCAGGAACAGCTTATTCACTCCATCTGTAACCAGCTATGTTTCATGGCACTAGGCTTCAAGCTCTGACCTGGTATAGATTGGCCCTAACCCTCTAACATTTCTCTTGACCATCCCTTCTTCTCAAGCAGTGAATGGACACTGAGATGTTGCTGAATGCTAATGTTGGTAGATAGTGGTATTCTAGATGAGCCACTTTTTTTTTACATAGTGAAGGGTAACTGTTTTTGTTTCATGTCATTTTGGTAGAACAAGATTAACATGTGTGAAATTGATAACATAAGTAAATTATTCAGCTGTCCTGTAAACAGGTTTCGGGGGGAAATAGCATTCTCAGTGTTTAAATTTAACACTCAGCCTTTTGATTTAATAATTCAGCTAGTCATACCTGATGGTCGGAATCTGAATATTGCTGTCCCATCTTTAATAAATGGTAGAACTTCCCTTCAGACTGTAGACCAATAGTCTATTAGATATTTTCCCGGTAGGGAACAAGGGGAGCATTTTCAAAGTGCAATCCTAAACAGGTCTACTTGGAATTCTACTCAAGTCAGTCAGGAAACTGTTTTTAGGATAGCAGTGTCAGTCACAGAAATCATGTATGGCAACAGAGCTTAAACGACCAGGGCTTTAGCCCACCACATCTAAAAAAGTGTGCACCTTACAGGAGAGAAGGAGTTAAACATAATCTCCTTATTATCCACTGGGCATTAAATATTCTCTTTTCTAAGGGTTTGACCAGCACTAATTAGTCAGAAACTGGAAGAGGAACCTATTCCCCTTATCTTCAGAAATAACATAAGAGGTTTTGCCAGTACAAACCAGTGCTATTATTAGCCTTGAAAGCAAGAAGATAGATGTCCAAATCGTGATCCTATGCATCTGTTCTTTTCTATTCAAGCCCCCAGAGGGCTGAAATTTAGCACTTGTTGTAGGTTTTGAACAGCCTGTTTACTAGAAACATTTGAAAGAAGGAGCGAAGCTTCTAGATGTGTATCTGGGGAACAAGGGAGGATATTCTTATGACAGTTCAAGAACAGAGTGTGATGTCTCTCTCATTGCATGAGCGTACAGCCAGGACTGACTTTTATTCTTGTACATTCAATGTGTGAGGGAGGCAAGGAGTGGGCAGGAGACCATTGTGCAGGTTCAAACGATACACTGGTGGGGTTTGCCATGGGTCCCCAGATATTTCCTGCAGCAAATAGATGTTTGTCCTCAAATGTTTGTGTACCTCTGCAGAAGGTAAAGCGTTTTTGTTACAGGGGGGATCATTACACTTGAAGACCTGCGGAATTATGAGCCAGTTCTAGACAAAAATCCACTAAATATAACCCTTGGTGAATTCACACTGTATGTGCCCAGCGCCCCGCTAAGTGGTCCTGTGCTAGCGCTCATTCTCAATATTCTGAAAGGTAAGACCACCCCCTTTCCCCCTAATTATATCCAAGGCATTTGTAGCTCACCAAGGGGCTTTGGGGTGTTGGTTTTCTAAATGACTCCTGACACTTTGTTACTATTCAATAAATAGAAGTAATGAATTATTGTACTAATAGACTGGCAATAGACAGCCGTGAAAAGAGCAAGGGGAGCCCCCCTATACCAGCACCATAAAACAGAGGTGTTAGGGATTACTTTTGATTGACTGGGGGGAGGCTCAAGCCAAACTTATCTGCTTTATTATACTGGCTGAAAATGTGAAGAACTCCCTTTCCATACAAAGGAAGCATAATGTGGAACAGGAAGACTCTGTTCTGATCTATTATAGCTACATGGAATCTCCATGTTCAGAAGCAAGGTGCCTGTGAACAACAGGTGCTGATGGCAAGCGGCTGAGTGGGAAGCTCAAAGGCTGCTGTTAGAAACTCTAGCCTGTCTAGAGGGACTCCTGCTCTAATCCAGCAGGGCTCATTTTAAGTTATCTTTGCATCTTTCCTGAAAACAGTTGTGCTGGTTTGCTTTCCATCCCTGCAGTCAGACAGTGATGAGGGAACTGGCAAGAGCTTGGTTAAAGATACCAGCAGTTCTTGGGAAGATCAAATGCTTGCCCCAAAAGAGCCCTCTTAAGGTGTTCAGGATGAGGATGATTCAAATCCCTTTGTTCAAAAGAAAGTAGCGTGCAGCACAGAGCCAGCTGACTTAAATCTCTTTCAAAAACAAGCATGAACTGGTGGCATTTGCATTCCACACCATTGCAACAGTGGGTGGTGGGAGTCCTTGCCTCCTTTGCTGTTTTCTCAACAATCCTTCAAGGTTGAGGAAGGTCTTTTGTTTTGGTTGAGAAATTTTTCCTGGAACTTTTCTGAGGGCTTGATAGCTGGCCAGGGATTTGAACCCAGGTCACCCTCACCTGTACCCACCTGAGCACTGATAACTTCAAGGAGTTCCCAAAAGTTAGTGAGGCAAAACATTCCTTTGCAAAACCTAGCCTGATCTGTCCCCTTTTCTTCTTTGATGTTTAATAAAATCTAGTTTTGATCGTACTTTCCCCCAACACCTGGGGACAGGTAAGTAAGTTGAGACATCGGGGATTCCCCCTGCTTCCCTTCTTAAACCCAATGTTATATGCTGTACTGGCTTTCACCTTCTAACCTGACTGATGAAACAACTTCTGTTACTGATGGGGGAAGCCTGACCTGCTAACTGCAGTGTTACGCTAAGTGTCCAGTTTGGCTCAAGTGCTAGTCTGCACAGTTGAGGCTATGAACATGTCTATTTTTACGTCTAATGCCCAGCCTTTGTCTCTGTGCCAGGATTTAATTTCTCCAGCAACAGTATCAAGACTCTGAAGGAAAAGGGCTTGACTTATCACCGCATTGTGGAGGCTTTCCGGTTTGCCTATGCAAAGAGGACTTTACTGGGAGACCCAGCGTTTGTCAACATCTCTGGGGTAGATAACAGACAAGTCTGTAATGCAGTGAGGCTGCTTCCACTTGGCAAGAATCCTCTGTGTTCTTTTTATTTATTTGCTTGTTTTGTGTGTGTGCATGTGCGCGCACGCCTGGAAGTCACGGTTGACTTCTGGCGACCCCTAGTGGGGCTTGGACATTTCAGAGAGGTGGCTTACTATTGCCTGCCTCTGTATCCCAGGCCTGGTATTCTTTAGAGGTCTCCCTTCCAAGTCCTTGCCAGGGTCGTCCCTGCTTAGCTTCCAGTATCTGACAAGCCTCCATGTTCCTTTAAATGCTGCTGTGAATGCAGAGGCATGCACACTCACAACAGAGTGCTTCCACCCAGGAGTTCCCACACCCTCCAGCAGCCCCTGGTGGGCATGCCCAGTATTTTTCCTCCCGACACACCCAGAGGGCTTTCTGCAGGATTTTTTTTAAAGCAGTAATTGCTGTAGCCAATAAAATGGTGTGGATTTTTTTAAGATCCCCCCCCCCAAAAGCCTTCCAGTGGTGTGGTATTAAAAATGGCAGCCATAAAGGGATACCAGCAGAAAAAGATCACTGATGTGAGCAGGAACAGGGCCGGCCCCAGCATATTTTGCACCCTAGGCGAGGATCCCTTCTGGCCCCCCCCCCCCCCCGTGCACCCCTGTCAGAGCCAGCAGGGGTGCTTTTGGCAGGGGGTGGGTGCAGTTTGGCACCCCTAAGGGCCGGGGCGCTCTAGGAGAATGGCTAGTGAGCGAGCCGGCACTGAGCAGGAACTGTCCAGATGGTGTGCTAATGCATTTGGACTGTGCTCTTTCCAAAAAGATTGGAACAAAGCACATTTGGGAAGAAAGGTATTGAGGATGTGGAACTGGTGGGGAGCACAGTTACAGCACGGCATGGTGTGAACTCTCAAAAAAAGTGCTCTAGAGAAAAACCTCTCTGTGGAAACACCCTGAGAACTATGTTATCTTTATTTTATCTGCATGAATACCTTTGTAATCTACTGTAAGCTCCTCCCTCTGGTTACTGGATGCTGGGGACAGACAACAGAGTATGCCTGTTACAATATGCCCTTCCTGTGAGCTTCCAGGAGTTGTCTGGCTGCCTACTGGGGACAAGGATGTTGGCATTTAATGATCTTTTGATAAGATCCAGCTGGGCTCTTCTTGTGTTATCTGTAATCATCTTCTTCTCCAAGTTAAACAGCTTTTTCCTCACAGATAAAGTGCTCCCAACGCTTTGTACTAGTTGCCCTTTTCTGTACACTTTTCAGCTCTATCTTACTCTGTGGGTTTTTCCCCCCTTTTCCCTTTTCCTCCAGGTGATCCGCAACATGACATCAGAGTCCTTTGCGGCTAGCCTGAGGGCCAAGATCACTGACAATTCTACCCATGCAACTGGATACTATGAGCCGGAGTACTACGCTCCAGATAATGCCGGTACATCCCACCTCTCCGTTGTGGCTGATGATGGCAGTGCTGTGTCCGCCACCAGCACCATCAACCAATAGTATGAGCTCAAACGTTACTTCCATGTAGGGACTCTACTGCCTTCAGTTGGTTAAGTATAACTCTTGCCAGCTTGATGTCAACCCAAGTGGGTTGAGGGAGAGACTTACTTTAGACTGCCATGTTCTCCTTTGGCGGAAGTGATCCAAGAGTGGGCCATTTCTTTCACTCAGCTTCAAAGGCTAGAGAGTTGATGCTTGGTCCATTCCAATGGGATGGTGTGTGCAGCTTGCACAGGTATACTCACACCTTTCCACTTCTGTCTGCTTCAAAGCAACAAGAATTTCAGAGCTCCAGCTCCGGGAAACGTTTCCTTTCTTTTGTTGTTGTTTATTGAAGTATTTATATCCTGAATTTCTCCCCATTGGGGACCTGAAGGACTTACCATGGCAGAGTGGAGATTTGAACCGGGGGTCTCCCAAATCCTAGTCCAGCACTCTAACCGATGCACCATGTTGGCTCTTGTATTAGTAGCTCATCTGGAACACTGGTTGCCAGGCCCATAGCTACAGTGGGGTATCTCGGGACCGCCCCCCCAATTTACTGCCCAGGCCTCCCGACTTCCCATCTAGCTGGTTTATTTGATTTTTCTCACGTCCCACAGCTGCACTGCACCATTGCCCTGCCCTGCCTGCTGGCAGTGTACCTCTGGGTGGCTGCAGGCGAGGCACGCCACAGGGCACGTCTGCTCCCTACTCCAGCTTTCTCTCTCTCTTGTTGCTTTTTAAAAACTTTTATTCTCTTGTCGCTCCTGACACAGTGCCCCCGACTTATTTATAAGCCCCCCAAAGTAAGAAATCCTGGCTCTGGCTCTGCTGGTTGCCCTTACATGGAAATCAGGCTCTTTGAGGGCTCCCTCTGATCTCCATGGGGAAGCTCCTGCCACATGCCCACTTGGTGACACATAAGAAGAGAGCCTGACTTGTTCCCCCCACCCAAAAAAGAGCAGAAGGAGCATCGAAGGAACTGCAAATGTAAACTTACTTTGTGAAATTTCAAGTTACGTAAATGTTTGTCCAGCAACCAAATGTGGGGTGACTGTATTGTGACACAGTGATCCCACCTTGTCTCTTTTACGACGCTGTAGACTAGTGGGCATTTATAAGAGCAATAGGCAGTAGGGATACATCTCAAATGAATGAATGGTTTCCTTCATTTTAGAGTACAGTAAACATACAGCATGAATGATTCCAGAACTCCCTCAGGCTGAGTCCCAAAGGCAGGGATTTTCTGCACTCAGAGTCTTTTGAAATACTGAACAGCTCGCTTCTTTTTCTCCAATGTGGAACAGCTCGCTTCTTTTTCTCCAATGTGGCTCTTCTCAGGCTTCATCAAGTGTGTGGTGGCTCACTGATATACCCTCTTTTGCAGTAGTCTGAAACGATGGACATACAGGCTTATGCCAGCTTGCATCTGAATTAAAAATCCTCCCTTTCAGCCAGATTTTTTTCCCTTAGAGGGCAACTGTTTTATTATACCTCAGAGCTATTCAGCCCCCTCGTGGACAGTTCTTCTAGATTTTTAGCCCTGAAGTGAGGGGTTACACACACATCCAAGCCAGAGAACTTTGTCCTTTTCACTGGCAGTGGAGCCATCTTTTCTGAATAATCCATTCAGGGTGAGCAGCCATTCTGGGGGCAATGCAGTTCAGCCACAGCACTGAGATGTGTGGGCTAACCAAATACCATGGTAAGTACCGGTATGTAGCTTGTAAGATAGAGATAAGAACTACTTGAGGCTGTGCGCTTCACCCACTCATCCAAGTCCTGGTGGCTCAGCCAAATCTGCCCTGGTATTGTGATTTCCACACAAGTACAGCTGCTGGTCTGTGTGGGAGTGAGACATTCTGTCCAGCAAAGGTGAGACACTGTTTCATGAAACAGTGACCTGGATCTTGTCCTCTGTTATCTGTACTTCGATGTGGTCTTGTCTGTTCAGACCAGCACATAGTCCCTCTGAAAGATAAAATCAAAAGTTAGATAGATAAAATGGAGGTGGGAGAGAGAAGCATGAATGGGATTTACTTCATAGTAGAAATACCCGTAGGATCTTGACTGTACGGGCAGGTAATTCCAAGTTCAACAGAACAACATGGTTGTCATGAGGAAGCTAGCAAAGCTCAATGACACAGAAATGTTAAACAGTGGCCATGGCCATCAACCTAGGTAATGAAAAGATTTTGATCTGATTATCCTCGCTCAAGATGTTTCCTTATGGTAGCTTCTCTGCTGAATCCTGTTTGTTCACTCCTGGGATTTGTACACAGCTCTTGGAGCATTTACAAAGGCTCCTGGCATGTTAACATCCTTTAAGATTCTTGGTTCCAAGTTTCAGGCAGCCATCATTTTGGACATCCTTTCTTTAAGTAACTACATGTCCAACTCAATTGATATGGCTGTTTGCTGCTCTTCTAGCGTTGCCTTCATTGGGGGGGGGGGGGAGATCAGTCATTGGTGACTTTTTTGCCACAAGGTATGCCTTCCAGAAGGGCCATGCTGCTGTTTTTGTATCTCACTCCTGAATAACCTTGATCGCTAAAGGAGAAAGGATCACTGGAGTTCTTGGGAAGATTCATTCTCCTTATGAGATGGCGGTTATCCAGATGCGCCCAATGACTGCCTCACCTGGGAAAGGGACCCAGAGCCAATAGTTCAAAATAATAGGATTCCTGAGGGTGGCCTTGTGTTTCATGATAATATACCCAAGCACGTTTATAAATAGTTGTTAATGATTTCTTGGATTCCAAGTTGTATGGCAGTTTGATACTGGGAGTGGGGTGGGTAAGGCAGCTTCTCCCATGGGAAGGGACCAAGCACTGAGTTATTAGCATAACCCTGCTTCTGAAGCAAAGTGGGAGGACTAATCACTCCTGGATATCACCCATCTGCTGAGGAGGAGAATGAACTTTCATGGTAAATCCAACATTTCCCCTTCTTCTCATGGACTAGAAAAATGCCTTGGTAGCAAAGAATGAGGCTGAGGTTAAGGATGACTACATCAGATTCTAGAACAAGGCAAACTTTTGACAGGTGTATTTATTTATTTATTTATTATTTCCGATTTATAACCCACCTTTCCTGCACAGTGCTTCTCACATAGATCAAGTATTGGGGAAAACTCTCTGGGTATAGGTTCTTCCTTAAAGCAAAAATCATGTTAGGATAGAACAGATCTGGTGGTCTTTCTTCTTTTGGTATAAATTTAGTCAAGAGAGGGATAGCATTTTTTGCAAGACTCCTGTGCCTTTAATTGCTGAAGGGTTTCTGTAACAGCAGTTCCATGCTGGAGAAAAAAGCTTTACCTACAGAATTTCTTTTTTGTGTGTGCAGGTAATAAAGGTACATAAGAGGGTGGTGGTAAGTCTTTTAGGGGTAATTTGCTTCCACATCTTGGGCTTGAGCCAGATATTGTCTGCGAATGGAAGGAACCTTTTTCTTTTCCCTCCCCCCACTCCTGCTGCAGCCCATTGACCTCCCTGAAATGCTGCTCTTGGGAGACAGGGGACCCTCAGGAATAGCAGGGAGGACAAATTGGCAGCCTGCCGCATGAAAGGGGAATTGGTAAAAATTATACTTCCCCTTTCAGTAGCGGAAAACTTAGTTTAGATCCAACCACTTGTAGAGTCAGAATTCTTCATGTGGTAGCAGAGGTAGGGTTGCATTTGGCGACTGAGCAGATTGGGGTAGATTCTTGAAGAATTAGGGCCAAAATACTCAGATCAAAGGCAGGAAGTAAATCTCTAAATGCAAATCCAGATGTTCTTACAAGTCTAATTCTTTTATAAAATTTGTCAGGAACACTTTCTTGTGCTCATGCTCACAGATTTTTGGTGTCCTAATGGCTTCCTGCTCGCCCACCATTGGGGAGCCACCACCATCCTACCCCGTTGCCCCATACTACACTAAGATATGGTGAGGTGGGAAGCTGCCGCTCACCCCCACCATCACACTGCAGCACCCTCCTTCTCCCATGTCATGGAGGAAGGGAAGGAGTGGGCTCCTTGTGGATGCCCAGTGGGGCTGGGGGCACCTCCAGGGCTGCTGCTTACTGGGGCAGATCCCATCACTGCAGGCAGTGTGGGGGGGGGGCAACAGGTCTAGTTGACACCATTCCACCACTGGTGCCGTAGGCAATTGCATATGTATGCCTAGTGGATGCGGGCAAACTTTTACTAAAACAAAAATTGTTACGACCAGTGTGCTCACACTGCTTTTGGATTAGTAGGAAACTTGAGCACAACCCTCCTTTACAGGCACTTACTTCCTTCTCCACTGACTCTTCCTGCATACTTTACTGGCATAATGAATTATGGGTACAGGAAAGCTTTCACTAAGGCACGCCTAGATATTCTGTAGGTTACAGTTTTAGTAGGTCAGTTCATTGGTATTCCCTATAGTGCAAGAAGAGTCTCCTCCTGTGACTGTAGGTTCATTGCAGATTTGTCCCACATTCCAGTCCATGAGACAGACTCGAGGACAAGAGTAAAATATGTTTTATGAGTGTTGTATCTCAGTTCCCAGGAAGGGTCAGGATAAGTTGGTGTTACTACTAGCAGATCGAGATAATTGTATTCCTTTACAAATGGCAGAGTTTATTGCCAATGTCATAAAGATAAAAATGATGGTGAGGCATTCCGATGTAAGCATGATTGACCTGCACACCAATTGTTCCACTCTGGATACCAAATGGATATTAGCCATTTGGTTTGTAAAGTGGTTTTATTTTGAGATATTTAAAATTATTATTTTAATTTTTCCTATGTCTGCCTAGTGGGTGGGCTGGCCCTGCAAGTGGTCAAGGCACCCAGTCACATCTTGCAGTTGTGGGACAGAGACTATTTATGTATATAAAGTTTAATTGAGCCTATTAATCTTAATGTCTGATCCTTGGGTGACGGATAAGTTAAAGCAGAAGCAGGGAGTTGAATAGAAGCATTTGTAATGCAATTTAGCATTCTGGCCCGCTTAAGTCTTACATTCACATTAATATAAATTGAAATAAATAAATAAAATAAACCAAGGAAAGCAAGAAGTGCTTTAAAGTACACATAGACAAATAATAGATTCAGATCAGTAGCCCTGTTGGTCTGAAGCAGCAGAGCAAAGTTTTAGTCTTGTGGTACCTTTGAGACCAACTATGTTTTATTCAAGTTATAAGTTTTCGTGTACATGCACACTTCTTCAGATCCAAATTAGTTTCATTTGTGTGTTTTCCATAGAATTTGGGGTCAGAACTGTATCATGTGTAAAATAACAGCAAACCTGTTTCCCATGATAGGGAGTGGTAACTAATCACAGCTGCCTGGTGCATGCACTAGCCTAAGACACACATTTGTCACATGTATGCTTTGTCTAGTTATGGGTACATGTTGAAAGAAAAATGCTGGAAGACAGCTGACTACAGTGCTGTGAGGCCACCCGCACTGCTACTCTTTGTTGAGTGCTGAACAAATATATTGCCTGCATGAACACTCTCATGGATTTTTTACATCAGGCTTTCAGTGCAGGGTGACTCTCCTGAAGCTTCTGCTGCTACAAGCTGCATCTACACATTATTGGAGATTGCAGTAGTGTTGCACTATAGCTATCATTGACCATTGATTTGGCTTGTCTGCACTGGAAAATACAGCTGAGAATATTTGCTATAACACAATATCTAGTGATGTGCGGATGAATCCACCATCGTCTGATCCTGTTATGGGTTTGACATGTTTTTCTTGACATGTTTTAGCTTTGGGTCAGATGTCCGTTCCAATGTGACTGGAATTATATTTAATGATGAGATGGATGACTTCAGCTCCCCTCTAATTATTAATGGTTTTGGGGTTCCACCTTCAACAGCCAACTTCATTGTCCCAGGTAACACTTCTCAAGATGGCTTCTTTGCTCCTATGTGGCTTTCAGCTTTCTGTGCGTCTCTTTGTCCCTTTGCATAGGTACTCACAGGTCCCTATGATGAGTAGGAATCTGGTTACATCACCTGCTGGGTAACTACAGGGATTGTAGTAATTGGGAGTGGCTTTGGTGTTCTCCTGACTTTTTGACTAATTACGCTGCTGACCCTGCTGTCAGATGTTAATTTCAGTGCTGGGTCAGACCCATGGTCAGTCTAGTCCATAGTGAGACGGAGATAGCCTTCCTTTATTGCTTGTCCCCCAAAACAGGCAATCAGAAGTAGTCTGCTTCTGAACATGGAAGCTCCCTTTAGCTATGTGGCTAATTACTGTCAATAAAGTTAGGTTTTGTGCATCTGATTATTGTTTGTCTGAGATAGTTGCTAGCCACCTTTCCAAATGAGGTAAATAATTAGTACATTTAAGCCAACAGAACAACTATTGGCATGCCGAAATAGTACTACATATATCAGAATGCACACATTCAAAGGCATGTTTTCCAAATACCCCTCCACCACAGTGTGTGTATCATTCAGGAAAGGAAAGGAAAGATGCTAAAAGGAGAGAGCAAAAGAAGAGGTCAGCTCTTGTAGCTTTTTTTCCAAGCAGAAATCCAAATAATCAGGCCCAGGGTCTTTAAGTTCTAGGCCGCCAATAAGTCATAAAGTACAGTAAGGCTGTATAGAGTAGTAGCTAGCACAATGCCAAGGCTGAGAGAATAACCCATGTCAAGCTCTGGAGAAACAGCGTGTCACTTTACATGTGCCAGGAATGAGAAGGAGCAAGTGTGATGCAAGCAGAAATGCACAGGAGTTTGGGAAAGATACAGGCTGCAATTACAAGGCTGGCTAGAAGCTTGAACTGAATGCTTGAATAGAATGCAAAACATTTTTTTCCCTCAGGCTGGGAGAAAGGGGAAGAGAATGCAGATAAGGGTAATTGGTGTGGTCCGTGATTGATGGAGGGAGGGCGTTCCCATGTCCTGCAACTATTGTCTCATAAGGAAAGGAAGAGAAGGAGTATCAGAGGAAGTATTTGCCTGGTGGCTGGTCTGTTTACTTCCAGCAGAAAATGTCCCACCCCTCCTTGCAGGAATTTAGTTGATTTTTTTTAACTACCTGGTTTTGCTTATTAAAAGTACTGGGTTCGCAGCATGGAGGACTCAGACGACGACATGCTTTAGCACACGTTTATTGTACTTAACACAGACAAAGACTAACGGCCCGACAGGGCCAACTATATACATATCCACCCAGTACCCCCCATTCCCATTGGAGGGTTTGAATGTCCCGCCAAAGTAGCTATTGGTTGGGGCTGGGGGATCCAGGATCCAAGCTCTTGCCTGTGCCGTGGGCCCCTGGTGGTGGCCCACATACATAACAGCTTATACCATAATTATTGTTCTCACTATCCTTCAGCCTTTTAAGCTACTATTTTATTGGCTATAAGTTTTTTTTTTACTGTTTACCTATGATTTTATTAGTTTTTTATGCTGATAATGGAGCCATCTCGAGAGCCTTTTTAGGTTCAAAGTTGTGGGATAAACATTGTTTCAATAAATAAATTGGAGTTTTGTGCCTGTGAGGTGGAACAGTAGAACTGCATTTCTGTCTAACACCCTCTGCCTGCTTCCCAAACCACATTTCTGTCTAATACCCCCCTGTCTATTTCCCAAACAGGTAAACGGCCTCTTTCTTCCATGTGTCCAGCCATTTTGGTGGATCAAAATAACAATGTCAAGATGGTGGTTGGTGCCTCTGGAGGGACAAAAATTACCACAGCAACAGCATTGGTAGGTTGTGCTTGATGGACTGACAGATGCTAAACAGGCTGGTTGAAATCAGAATTAATGTTGGGGCTCATCTGACTTGATGTGGTAATACACATTATATGTATCACACAAATGCAGGCTACTGAGAAACTGGGAAAGGGAGCAGAGCAAATAGAAGAGGGAACCAGGTTAGAATCCCCATTTTGCTGTGGAAGGTCATTGGGTGACTTTGGACCAGTCATATAACTTTCAGACTAACCTACCCCACTGTTGTGCAGATAAAAAGGAGGAGACGAGGATGGTACGAGCAGCTTTGGTCTCCACTATGGAGAAAGGTGGGGTATAAATGAAATAAATTACGGAATGTAGGAGAAGAGAATCCTCATCTGAATAAGAAGCCTGTTTGCCCTTCTAACGATCAAATAATGGCTCTATTAGCAGATCTGGATTTTGGTATAAAATCGATGTGTGTAAATATATAGTTGCTGCAGTTAAGCGTCATTTGTTTTTAATGACTACTGAACAGCAATAATCTTATATTGCTGTCTTTTTCTGGTCGAACAGCCTATTGGCTTTAAGACCTGGATGGGATATGGAACTGAAATAAATAAATAATAAGTATAGCTGAAGATGGGAGCAAAAAAAAAGGTAGTTTGGTGAATGACTGAGGAGAGAATGAGGAAGGGAAAGGGGAGAGGACATGGGGATTGCAAGAGGTTGGGAAAGAGGAAATAGTGTGGGGAGGGGGATACAGGGGAAAGTGACAACCCGCACAAGGTTCCCTATCATGCAAGTGGCCCTGGCCCAGTGGCTGTCACCACACAACTGGGCCATACTTTTCCTAGGTAGATGCTGCCCAGGTGGGCGGGTGGAGAAGAGGAGAAGACAGAGGGGCAGATAAAGGTAGGTTGGCTGTTGGGTGAGAAAGAGAGAGGGTTGCCGACTTCAGGTTAGGAAATTCCTGGAGAACTGGGGGAGTGGAGCCTGGGGGTGGGGTTTATGGAGGGGAGGGACCTCAGAGGAATATAATGCCATAGACTCTATCCTGCAAAGCAGCCATTCCCTCCAGGGGAACTAGTGTTATGACTGCCAGATCACCTGGAATTACAACTGCTCTCCAGATGACAGAGATCAGTTCCCCTGGAGAAAATGTAGGCTTGCCAGCCCCCAGGTCTGGGTGGGGGATCCCCTGATTTCAGGGTCTTCTCCCTGACGTGGATGAGCTGGCCTTTGGGGAAACCCCACCCCTAAACAGGGATGTCCCCGACATGATGATGCCACCCAGAAGTGACATCATCACATCAGGGATGTCGTGCAGGGACACTCTGATATGTGGTCAAACTCTGTGGTTTGAAGGCAAAAAAACCATAGTGTTTTACCCAAATACCAGAGTGTCCCTGTGAGATGCTTCCGACACAATGATGTCACTTCCGGGTGACAGCATCACATCCGGGACGTCATGCGACGTCGCACCTACCCCCAGAATGCCCCAAAATCCCCAGAAATTTCCCAACTTGGAGCTGGCAACTGATCTCTGTATTTGGGAAATCTATTGTGATTCCAAGACACCTCCAGGTTGGCAACCCTAGCAGGAGAGGAGGAGACAGGAAAAGGAGAGAGGCTGTGGGGCTTTCAGGGAAGCCAAGGAGGAAATATTAGGGGGACGAGAAGTTAGATGCCTCCCACAAGTCCTTGTGGGTTCCCACGTTTCTTATATAACCCTTGGAAATCAAAACAGTTCTGAATTTACTTTGCAACCAAAGGTCAAGGATGCAGGATACTAGAACTTTAACATTTTGTTTACATTTGTACTTATTTTTTCTGATCCATGAGGCTAAACAAATAACCAGAAAGTGAATAAGGGGATAATACAGAACACAGCCAGACTGGTCATGGCAATGTTCGTAATTTCTTATTCTTCTGTTTTGTTCTAACTTGCCTCAGATATTTGGAATACCCTGCCATGTTTGTACTGTGGTTTGTACTGTCATGTTAAACAAATAAAAATATGATTAAACCTCTCCAGAAACATTAGACACGTTGCTGATATTGGGCTTTTGTCTTTGTGTAGGCAATCATACATTCCCTTTGGTTTGGCTATGATGTTAAAAAGGCTGTGGAAGCACCCCGAGTTCACAATCAGTTGTTCCCTAACGTTACTGAACTGGAGTTGGATCTGGAAAAGGTTGGTTTGTCCAGATCAACAGACAATGTGGGTAGCAATTTGAATACTGCATGACCCTTGTGGAAGCATCATCTGTGGTCATGGGCTATTTGATGGTTGGCTAGACATTGTCCACTTTTAAGGTAATATGGATAAACTACAGATAAACTTCTAAAACATAAGTCAGAACTAGAATTCAGCACTAGATTGCTAACTTGCCTCAATATTTCTGACAAGTGATACTTCCCTGAGTGCATTATAATGTATATAATTCACGTTGGTGGCTATTAAGAACATAAGAACGTAAGAGACGCCAATGTTGGATCAGGCCAAAGGCCCATCCCGTCCAACACTCTGTGTCACACAGTGGCCAGAAATAACCAGTGCCATCAGGAGGTCCACCAGTGGGGCCAGATCTATTGGCCTAGACAGCCTTTTAAAAGGGTAAGACTAAGTCCATGGAAGAAGATGGCTCCATTAACATCAATAGAACCTCCATATTTGGGGTCAACTTTGTATGTTCTTGAAGTAGAGAACAAACATGGGAAGGCTACTGTATATGGACATCTAAAGCTACCTTGTACCAGTCCAGAAGACTGGTGGATTAATCCCAGCACTTTCTAGTCTGATTTGTGTATAATCTTTCTCCCCCACTCAATGTGTCTTTTTCTCTTTCTTTTCTGTGTCCAGGGAGTAGAAGAAGAGCTAAAGAAAAGACTGCATGAGACTGAATGGGTCAGTGGGGGAGCTGTTGTGCAGGCCATTCTCAGAACTGATGGGGGCTGGACTGCAGCATCAGATTCCCGGAAAGGGGGATACCCAGCAGGCTACTGAACTTGTATTCAAGTTGCTTCGATGCATCATGTCCTGAATTGTATAGTTAGTGTCAGACATCTGGAGTCCATTGAGATAAATACACCCCAATCCCCCCCCCTTAGAGTTGTGGGCAAGATCTGTATCCCCCAGGTTTCAAAATGTTACAGATAAGCCTTAAAGCAACCACAAGCCCAAAGTAATTGATTTGAACTATTTTATAAAATCAAGGCCTTGAGGGAAGTTCTAATTTCTTATATTGTTGCTGAGGAAAATAGCTAAAAAGGGATGGCTGTCCAGAAGTAATCAAGGATTGCTTGGACCCAAACTGTACTTATTATGTACAGCAGATGATATCCTGCATCATTTTTGAGTTTTGGAAAGACCATTTCCAGTAACTCAAACAATACTATTGAATAATGAGGAGGAAGAGAGTGTTGTCCCAAAATTATGTCAAAACAGATTATGCAACATTTACTGAAACAAAACAAAAGTGAATGTTGGAAACAGCTCTGGTTGAGTTGCCACTTTTAAAAGAAGACCAGCTTAAAACAGGCAGTAATGAAGATTTTAACAAATTAGAGCTCCTACAGCTACCTGGGGCTGGGCATTAAGGCCTGGATTTTATTGTTTTTTAAATCCTTTAAAATACTATGCCACTACTACAGAACTTGTAGGATGCAGAAAGGGGACCATAAAGGTGGGTGTGCCTGAGGTTCCACAAATGGATCCTACCAAAAGTGTGTTTCTCTCATTGTGGCTGTCCAACATGTTCATTTTCAATTTATCAGAATCATGAGAACCACGGAAGAGAGATGCTGCTGTATGCCCTAAATATACTTGAATGGCTTTTAAAAAGATCAATAATAAATATATATTTTTAAATTGTTTATGGTGTCAGATGCAAATGCTTATATCAAACTTTAAAGGGCTGGGTTTGGGGAGCAAGATGATTTCAGGAATGATCATTCCCTAACTTATACTGTGGGTTGGATCCAATCAGCTTTTCTGCTGGTGGAAAAAAAAGGGTTTCTTTGATCACCAAAGAAGGCTATGTTGGGGATCATTGAACGTGCATGTAAAAAAAGCCATGTGATACTAGGGCTACAGTCATGAATGGGATTTATATCAGGAAGACAGTGTGGGCCTTTGGACCCCTTCCCCCATCTCTAGGCAGATTCATTTGCCCACCTCAGCATCTCCTCTAGTTTAGCCATCAAGGAATCATTGCATCACTCCCATCCCGATCCCTTCCCCTGAGCTGCTGTTGCTGCAACTGCTTTTAAAAGGCCTACAAAGAAAGCACTTCTTCTAGCTGGGCAGATAAGAAGTCAGGGGCTGAAAGGGTCTGCCCAGTGTGAGCCTGCCCTGCTTTCACTTTGGAGGGCGGGGAAATGCCCATCAGCTCCAAGCTCCTTACTTTTCTCCACAAGTCCCTCTATGGCATTTTGTGGCCCTTCAGTGCCAGTGCTTATTAACAGAATGGATGAAAGTCTAAAAAATCTCTCTCTATTCAAGTACTTTTAAAAAGTATTGCTCACTGCTATTAATTGTCGTCTGCTGTTAATTAAGGAAATGCTCCTGCTCCCTACTGAGATAGGGGGCAGTTGCTGCCACCTTGGCCTGTAGATTGCCAGCTATTCATTCTACCCCCTGCTTGGAGACGGTATAAAGGGGATGGGGAAGGGAGAGGATAGGATTACCTTGGCCTGCAGATTGCCAGCTGGTCTGTTTTGTCTCAGCTGGAAAGGGTTTTGTGTGGTGCAGTACTTTTCTGCTGCAGAGGTTTTTTAATACTTACTGGAATAAGATTTTGATTTTGAGATCTGAGTGCTATCAAGAAAGGACTGGGGGTTAGTTTGAGCTTTGTAGGAACAGATTTCTTGATGTATTTGGATTGAGTGATTATATATATTTTTAGATTGTCTATGGATTTATAATTTGTAAGCCACGAGTCCTTACGTTTAGCAGAAAAGCAGCACAAGAATGTTCTGGCTGAATGGATAAAAACATATTTCCTAGAGCCCTTCAGATCCCACAGGCTACTGTTGGCTACCCAGTTTTTAACATATGGCCCCCCAAGCAGTCCAGTGCTCCACCTCCACAGCTGCTTTCAACTCAGTCCTTGATAGGGATGGAGTTCAGTCCTCAGGCTGTTAGGACAAGATAATTGATTATAGCCTCAACCCTTATCTCACTTAAGTTTGTTGGTATGGGGATATGTGTGTGGCGGGGAGAATAGCAAGTGTCCTTAACCCTTATCTCACTTACGTTTGTTGGTATGGGGGAATGTGTGTGGCGGGGAGAATAGCAAGTGTGAAGTTTCCCAGCACTGAGAACTCTATTAAATATCTCTAGCTTCACACCTTTATCCTACCCACCCTGGACTACGGTTACCACAAAGATTGCTAGATTGAACAGACGAAAACCTACAGTTGCCGTAGGAATAACTGGCGTGAACTCTATGGCTTTTTCTGCACTCTCCTTTTAATCCATGTTCACCATGGTGTCCCCCAAGCAATTCTACACTAAAATCAAGTTGAACCTCCTGTTTATTCTCGGTTTCCCCCCCACTCTGCATTACATTACCTACCCTCAATGATTAGCCTTGGTTTCAGCCTGCTGTTGCCTCAGGTTATTTGGATGCTGTTTTGCCCTGGAGTTAAACTGTCTCAACTCGAACACTGAGAAAATCCAGAGTGGCCGGCAAATGCGGAAAGGACCTATAGCTGGGGGGGGGGGGCGGGGGTCACTCCTACATCCCCTTGGTGTTGGTAACTGGGTGTCAGCAGAGGTGGTGGTAGAATGTGTTATCATAAGTCAACAGAAAAGGGGCCAACAGGAGAGCAGGGTGTTGTTATGGCAACCAGCCTCTGATAAGCCTCAAATGAATAAGGCTTTTTTAAAAAGAGCTGCAACAGAGATGGATTTAGCCCCTTCCTGGTGGCTAAGACAGAAACATAAAAGAGGGCTTGTGAAACCAATTTTATTAAAAATATAATTTTGTAAAAGATGGTGGTAGAATGTGTTATCATAAGTAAACAGAAAAGGGGCCAACAGGAGAGGAGGGTGTTGTTAGGGCAACAATCTTCAGCCTCTGATAAGCCTCAAATGAATACTTTTTTTAAAAAAGAGCTGCAACAGAGATGGATTTAGCCCCTTCCTGGTGGCTAAGACAGAAACATAAAAGAGGGCTTGTGAAACCAATTTTATTAAAAATATAATTTTGTAAAAGATGCACATGAAGAAACGAGGAATGTTCCGAATTCCTGTATGATCGCCTTTCATCACGCAGTCATCCCCCCCCCTCCCCAGCCAAAATCTCACATTCATGCTACTGCTCCTGCTCTTGTGATAAAGTCACCTAACATAACTTATGCCTGCTTGGCTCAGTGTCCTCTGCCTTAAGTTCCAGTTAGTCAGCATTTGAGTTGGCACCAGTGTGAAGCTGCCTTCCAAGACCAGCAT